CATGACACAATGGGGGCAGAAGTAGGATGGTTTTTGGGTGGCATGCGATATGAAAAAGTGTCCCGAATCTGTCCCCCATCCGTCATACCCTCTATCCCGAATTCATCCTGGGGCTGCATCCTCGAAAAGATAAAAATATGTCTTGGATGTCTCTTTCGGGACAGATTCAGGATCTCCAATTTTGGTGACGTGGCGTGTTGCTGGTCATAGCGGGGCGCTCTTAGCTAAAAGCCATTGCACGCACATAGAGCAGCTCGTCATGGCACCTTCCATTCGCGACAAGCGCCAACCTTGCGTCGCCTCCCTTGCTCGTCGTCGAGCTAGGCGCAGGGTTGCTCACCGTCGCGCTTGGCACTGGGCTGCTCGCCATCGCACTAGGGACTGGGCTTTTAGCCATCGCACTAGGCGCTGACTGTTGTGCATCATGCCAGGGGCTGGGCTGCTTGTCACGCACTCCCCGCGAGTGTATCCCCTAGCGTCGCGAGCTCCATGTGCACGCCCTGGGCTCAGTTGCATCTCAAATTCGTAGTGGCTAGCATCGAGCAATATCCGAGCGGGTTGAGTGGGTTGAGTGCGTTTGGGTTTTGCTCTAGCATATCATGCCCCCACTTACACTGGCAGAAAGAATTGCCCGGATAAAATCCACTTTTAGGTTCAAATAATTATTTGAATGCTTTTAACCAAGGTATCGCTGAATCTTCGAAGCTGCGTTGTAAGTAACGAGTGCAAGTTGCATTGGGATAGCACCTTTGCGATTTGAAGGGGTCGCACTAATAGCGTGGACAAGATTTCAGTCGCGTGAGTGCATCCGGACAGTTTCGGCCAAGCAGCGGACTAGATCCGTTTTCGAGTACCGCAGTCTCTCCATAGTTTCTCCCGCGACTTTCGATTAGTCAGGAAAGAGTTTATACCCAAGGCTTCGACTAGGCCGAGATGAGACCGATAGATGAGGCGCGTCACGCACGGATCATAACTATGTTGCGTAGGGGGTATAGCACGAGGCGGGTCGCGAAGGAGCTTGGCGTGGGGAAAAGCACAGTACATGATCTTGGATTCAAGGCAATTTCAGATTCTAGTCGCGAGGATGTGCGTCCTTCAATTCCCACTGCTGGTCGTCCACGCATAGTCACGAATAGAATTCGTCGTGGGATCGTCAGGGCGATTACTAGCGGCGAGGTGAAAACCTCGAGGCATGCGGCCCAGATCGTCGAATCCCAGCACGGCATTACGGTGCATCCTAGGACAGTGCGTAATGCGCTCAAATCCAGCGGCCTTGTCGCAGTCCAGCAGCCTAAGAAGCCGCGACTCTCGAAGAAAAATATCCGCGATAGGCTGGAGTTCGCACGGGCCCACACTGATTGGACCATAGAGGATTGGAAGCGGGTGATCTGGTCGGATGAGACGAGGATCAGTAGGTTCTGCTCTGACGGCCGCACGTACGCCTGGGTTCGTGAAGGTACGACCCTCCAACACCACCAGATCTAGCAAACCGTCAAACACGGGGGCGGCGGCTTGATGATCTGGGGCTGTATGACGTATGAGGGGGCGGGTTTCATGTGCAAAATCGATGGTAGGATGGACGGGCCGCTGTATCTGAGCATTTTGCAAGATGAGCTGAAGAATACCATCGACTTTTACACGCTAAACCCCTCGGATGTGATCTTCCAGCATGATAACGACCCCAAGCATAAGTCCCGTGTGGTGCAGCAGTGGCTTCAGGAGTAGGAGTTTGGGGTCCTGGAGTGGCCGGCAGGAAGTCCCGATCTGAACCCCATTTAGCATCTTTGGGCTCATCTTAAAAGGGAGCTGGCTAAGTATGAGAAACCTCCCACTGGTATGGTGGACCTGTGGGAGTGTGTACAAGAGGAATGGGAGAGGATCCCATCAGAGATGTGCACCAATTTGATCGACAGCATGCCCAGGAGGGTGAATGCAGTGATTAAGGCGAAAGGGCGGTGGACTAGGTACTAGTTTAAGGGTTGATCAAGTTGCTGCCTCTGCCTGGAACTAATTGTCCGGATGCACCGTAATTGGTTATGTCTGCTTTTTACTGTTAACGATAGTAGTTTCATCAAATGTGAAGCATTGTTTTGTGTCCCTAGATTGGCCTGCATACAGTGGGTAAGGCCTCCAATTAAGGCTTAATGTACACATGCCCTTTAAATGCAGAAATTCTGAAATTTGCAAAACATGCGGAAAATTGTTTCCGCTAGTGTTATTTCGGAGGTGGGATTGGTACGCGTGCCCCTAATTGGCTCTCGTTCTTGCATACCCGTCACATTTGCTGTCAGAGTTGCCTAGCCACATCTCTCATCCTGGTCAGTTGCGCAGTGGCAAAACGATATCCCAGCCCACGTTGGTGCTTTGGGGATATGTTGGCTTCTGTACACACACTTTCAAGCTGGGCCTGACTAGAAAGGGCGCATTCCTAATGTCCAGGATCAGGATCAGCATTCTTGATCCTGGTTCCTGATCCAGCCATTCTGTCGCCTGTAGGTCAGCAACCAAGGTGCTTGTCGCAAAGTGCTGCCACATGTGCAAAATACGCGACGCAATGCGACGTGCAGTTGGTGTTGAATCGAACTTGCAAAATGCGACATGATTGGTTGCAATTTTTTCTTCGGCTTAGTACACGTACTCGAGGTCGCAAAATGCGACATGATTGGTTGCAATTGGTGTTGAATCGAATTCGCCCGCTTTCCGGGCCGGGTTTGTTCTGGACATGCTGTTCGTTACGTTTCGTGGCTTCCAGAATGTGCGGCTCCACACAGCAACATTAGACGACGAAACCTGTGGCCGTTGAGAGTGTGGCCACATATTAAGTTGGTGGGCGGCGTAGCGAACACCGAACAGCCACAGAAAAGGGGGTGCACCAGCATGGACCATGGAGGTATGAGCCACCTCCATGACCAAGCCGATGCATCGCTCAGTGACCCGATTCTGCTGCGGGGAGTCCGGCAGGGTGTACGACTGGGTGATGCCCTCCGCACGACAGAACTGGCCAAGCCGACCGGAGGCGAACTCGCAGTCGGAGTAAAGACACAGCATAGGGAGAGCGTGGTGGACACGCGCAGCAACGACCGACGGGATAAGAACGTCAGGCACGTCGGGCTTCCGCTCCAGGGGAAAAACTGTGGTGTAGCACGTGTAGTCGTCAACAAGCATGAGAAAGTAGCGCTCTTGACGCAGCCCAGGGACGGGGGCCGGACCCCAGACATCCAAGTGCAGGGTCTGGAGTGGCGCAGTGGTAGGGGGAAGTGTGGAGGAGTGAGGAGCACGGCGCAGCTGTCCCTCGACGCAGGGCATGCATGGCGGCGCAGGCGAGGGAGGGAGGGTAGGGAGCAACGCAGGGAGACCGAAGACAAGACCGTGCTAGGACATGTGACGCAGACGTGGGAGTGTTGGGTGACCTACTATAAGCGGTGGTGCCATAACAGTAACGGGTGGGTGAGCGACCGACACGAGTAGGCCCCGCGGCGACCTAGGTAGACGCAGGCACCTGGGGGGACGCCCCCACCGTACGAGACGCGGTGTCTTGCGTGAACAGGCCTGACACCGGGTCCCGGGGGAACGTAGTGAGGGGGGCACCAATGGCGACCTCGCTACAAACTGCGTACTGCTCGTGTCAAGGAAACGTAGTGATAAAGCCATGGTCCTGAAGACAACCGACACCAACTAGGTTCCTGGAGATCGACGGGATGTGCAAACCTGTAAGAGAGCCCGAGGGAACCGCCGGACAGGGAAGGGTAGTGGAGCTACGTGCAACAACCGGACCTAAAGGGGGGTCAGCAAGCGCTACAGCGGTAGGGCCGGCAAGCGACGGGGGCGCAGTGTGGTCACGAAAGAAGCAGGCGGACGCATCAGAGTCTAGCGTGAAAGAGAGCGTTGCGGTAGCGTCCGAAGGCGGAGGAGCTACAGTGGAGCCAAGGCTAAACAAGGCAGGTGGTCCTACGCATGACGCAGCACGAGAACCTAGGCTACACACAGTGGACACACTTACACTAGGCAACACAAAGTAATAGGGGCCAGTCACACTAGAGTCATCAGCATACAAGACATACATAGCAGACCTAATCTGATGCATATCCAGCTCAAAGACAGGCACACGATGACGCACCATGTTGTACTAGTCGGGGGGGGTCCGACGCGGGGCCGAAGCGGAGACGGAAGAGGTCGTCAAGGCGGCTGTCACAGGATCGAATGACTCGAGGAAAGATTGCACTATCGATCAGTACAAGGCGCTTTTATACTTCCAGAGTACATCAGGTAATCAGGTTTATCTTATCCTAAGGGAATAGACCCTTCTAGAAAATAGAATCACCCTGCGTATAGCCACGCGAGGCTATTGGCTTTAAGGGATTACAGCAGGATTACGCTAGATAGAGCGCACCAGTACATCACAAGCCTGGTCGGTGATATAATTATAATAGCAGGATAAACCAAAGGTTAATGGAAAAGGAAGAATAGGAAACCAAATGAGATGGAATAAAAAGAGAAATGAAATAGGAAGGAAATCAGAAAAGGCCAAGTGGTGTAACGGGGTCGTACTCTCACACTTCCCCCCCTCAAAGCTGGGTGGTAGTAGTAACACCCTGCTTGACAAGGTAGTCGTGCAGAGGACGACGGGCGTTACCCATGTCGGACTCAGGAACCCAGCTGTCCTCAGAAGGATCATAACCCTTCGAACGGATGAGAAGCTCCACGGTGCCATTCGGACGACGGCGGTGTGCGAGCACGGACTCGACCTCGTACTCGGGTTCATTATGGATGAGGACGGGCGGTGGCGGCGGCGGTTGGCGTCCGACGAAGATTGTGTTCGGATCCCGATAGGGCTTCAGAAGTTGGACATGGAAGGCGTTGTGAATCTTCCAGGTAGCTGGTAGGCGTAAGCGGAAGGTAACAGGAGTAACCTGTGCTTCCACGAGAAAAGGCCCGCAGAAGCGAGGTCAAAGTTTAGATGGGAGATGGCTGATGTCCAGGTTGCGGGTGTCAAGAAGCACCTGGTCTCCTACCGTGATGGTGTGATCGTTGCGATGGCGATCGGCCTGGCGCTTCTGTTGCTGTTGAATGTCGAGTAGGCGCTTGTGGGTCCGATCCCAAAGCTGATGCATGGTTGTGATGAAATCATGCGCAGGTTGGACTGTGGCTGATGCTGTCGGTTTTTGTGGTGTGAGTGGGTGGCGGCCGTAGCAGAGGAAGAACGGCGTCTTTCCAGTAGCGGCATGTGTAGCATTGTTGTAAGCAAACTCTAAAATGGGCAGATGCAAGTCCCATTTGGAGATCTCGTCCTTGCAGGCTGCTCGGAGGAGTTGCTTGACAATCTGGTTGAGGCGCTCGGTCTGTCCGTCGGTCTGCGGATGGTAAGCAGATGACATGGCGAGTTTGGTCCTGAGGAGAGACATAAGTTCCTTCCAGAACTTGCTGGTGAACTTGGGGTCTCGGTCGGAGATGAGTGTGGTTGGAATGCCATGCTGTGAGATGATGTATCGAACGAAGAGTTGTGCTGTTTCTTCGGTGCGTGCTGTCGTGTGTGTCGGGAAGAAGTGTCCCATCTTGGAGAATTTGTCGATGACGACAAGGATTGCGTCATGACCGCTAGTGGTAGGTGGTAACCCGGTGATGAAGTCCAGGCTAACCACTTGCCATGGCTGTTCTGGGACAGGAAGAGGCTGTAGCAGTCCTGCCTTCTTCTGTTTGCTACTCTTTATCCGCTGACATGTATCACACGAGGTGACGAATTTCTGAACATCTTCTGCCAAGTGGGGCCAGTAGTAGTGCTTTGCGATACCGGTCAGCGTCTTGTTGCTACCGAAGTGTCCGGCGTAGAGGACGTCGTGGTATTCTTCAAGTAGTAACTGGCGCAAAGGAGGGTAATTGGGTACCCAGATTTTCGTTGATCCTTTCCGATACGCGATGTCACTGTCCCACTGTAGCAGATGTCGCTTTTCTGCCAAGGGAATTTCGGGGTCGATGGCGTACCCGTGTGTGAAGAGTCCCTTGAGGAGTGGATTCATCCCTTCGATCTGAATAGCGGCAACGTGTGGAGGTCGGCTGAGAGCATCTGCTTTGTTTTTGTGGCCGGGCTTGTACACGATGTCGTAGTGGAAGTGTGTCTCGAGGAAGTCGATCCACCGGACCTGCCACCTGGAAAGGTTGGGTTGTGTCTTCAAATATTTCAGGCTGCAGTGGTCGGTGTAGACGGTTGTTCTTCGTCCTTCGAGATAACATCTCCACGCTTTGAAGGCGATGACGATGGCAAGGGCCTCTTTGTCGTGTATCGGGTAGTTTAGTTCTGCCCCGTGCAGTTTCTTGCTGTGGTAGGCAATTGGTTGCAGTCCATTTCCCTGGTCTTGCATCAAGACTGCTCCCACTGCCTGGTCGCTGGCGTCAGCTTCGATGACGTAGTCGCGTTCGGGATCTGGCAAAATGAGTACTGGTGCGGACGTGAGTGCTTGCTTCAGCTGCTCCACGGCTTCCTGGTGCTTCGGCTCCCATTTGTAGGGTGTGTTCTTCTTCAGCAGATTCGTGAGTGGTGCTGCGATTTTCGCATACTGTGGCACGAACCTGTTGTAGTAATTGGCGAAGCCTAGGAACTGCTGCAACTCCTTCACGTTCTGGGGTGTCTTCCACGTACGTACGGCTTCGATTTTCTTGGGGTCGACGTGAACTCCTTGAGCGCTCACCATGTGTCATAGGAACTGGACCTTCTCAAGGGCGAATTCGCTCTTGGATAGTTTGACGTAGAATCGTTCTCGTCGAATAATTTCGAAGACGCGTCGCAGGTGTTCGACGTATTGCTTCATGTCGCGTGAGTAGATGAGGATGTCGTCCAGGTACACCACCACGCACTCGTCCAAAAGTGGTCATAGAATGTGGTTCATGTCGGCTTGGAATGTTGCCGGTGCGTTGGTGAGTTCGAATGGCATTACCAAATACTCGTACGATCCATACCGAGTTCGGAAAGCAGTTTTGTGGATAGAGTTGTCCGCCATCCGAATCTGCCAGTATCCGGACCGCAGATCCAGTTTGGAAAATACCGTAGCTCCCCGAAGCTGGTCAAGCAGGTCATCGATTCGCGGTATCGCATATTTATTCTTGATGGTCTGCTTGTTAAGAGCTCGGTAGTCGATGCACATGCGCAGGCTTCCGTCCGGTTTCGGTGTGAAGAGTACTGGGGTACCGTATGGCGAAGTGGATGGTCGGATGAGTCCTTTGGCTAGGAGATACTCGATATGTTTTTTCATGTCGGTCAGCTCCGTAGAGCTGAGCCGATATGGTGCTCGGAAGGTCGGCTTTGAACCCCGTTCCTCTACGATCTCGTGTTGATGCGTTCGGTATGGCGGTAGCTCGTTCGGAAGATCGTCCGGAAGAATATCTTGGAACTCCTTCAATAATTCCTTGATCTTTCCTGGAGGTTCCGAGGTCTTCTCTCCGTCGTTCTCTACCTCTGTTGCTATCGCCAGGAACCCGGTGTCGGTTCGCTTCACGTCCTTCTCGAATCGCGCGAGTGTCTCCACTGGGATATCTCTTGTATCGTCCCAGTTGGGTAGTTGTACTCTCCGTCCATTGTTGTAGATGCTTGCGGTGCGGTTCACCCAGTTGATCTCGGGGTTGAATCTTTTTAGGAAGTCTCGCCCGAAGATCAAATCAAGCCCTTTGATATTGGTGATGGGGAGTGCAGGTCTCCAGCGCAGTGGTCCAATTTGTAGGTGTAGCACTGCTTCGCCGTGTACGGGTACCTTGCCTCCGTCCACCATCGTTGTAGAGAACCCTGAAGGCTTGTACTCTTCCCAAAGTCGGTTGATTACTGCCTTGTTGCAGACGGTGTGTGATGCTCCGCTGTCCACGAGTGCTTGGAGGCGTCGTCCTTTGCAGATGACCTCGAGCACGAGGGGCAGGTGTTGCTCGGAGTACCCAAAGATAGTTTCATTGATTGGGTCATAGGGTGCATCCCAATATTCCGTACACACCTTTGTGTTGCTATCTACTCCTGAGCTGGCAGCTGGCCGAGGCTTCTTGGAGAACGGCTCTTCTCCAGGGCCTGGAGTTTCCTTGACGACTGTGCGCGTTGTTGTTGCCGAAGAACTGGATGCATCCGAAGTAGGAGTTCGGGGTTTGTGCAGCTTCTTATAGACCCCCAGCTTCCTCTTGAGCCGCTTCAGCTCCACCGACGTCTTCCCTGGGGACCGGGTAGTCGTTGTGGGCTGGTGTCGGGAGAGGACGTTGACTCCATGGAAAGGTCGGCTTCTTTCCACACTCCTTAATTTTTTCCCCAACTTGTCCGGTACCGGTATAATCTCCACAGCTGTCTGCTTCTTTTGGAGTCCCTCCCGAAATTTCTCCAAGGCTCTAGCTTCTCGAAAATCATAAGTTTTCATTAAAGCATATTTATAAGATAACTTTAATGAATTCTTATAATGTCTTGGGTCTTCAAGGAGTTTCCCCGTCTCGGCAGAGTCTTTTTTCGCGGAGTCGTATTTTTCCTCGGCGATTTTCCCTGGCGAGGACTGGTCGTGGGGTGGAGATTTTCCCCCACCATTTTCTCCTTCTCGCGTCGAATCAGCTTCGTCGAAGTTGATTTTTCCGGAATCCCGCGGCCGTTTTCGGATCTTTTTATTTTCGCCAGCTAGATCCGCAATCACTGGCGACTCCCGTTTTTTTACTTCTGATTGGCTGAAGGAATTCCGCCACTGTTGCGTGCCCGATACTCTGCGCGTGCGGCTTTCATTTTGTTGCAGTCGAAGATTCGATGACCCGGCACCTCGCAAAAATCACACGTGTAATTGGTGTTTTTCGGATGTGGCCGCCCCTCGAACCTGTCGACTTCCATCGGGTCGGCGAACGTTGGGTGAGCCGAGCGGTCGCCCTGTCGCGTACTGCCGACGTGCATCCGTCGTGTTCCGGCGTTGACCATGTCGAAGCGCTCCGCTGCCGAAACGACGTCACTGTAGCTCGCGTAGTTTGACGCTGCGACTTGTCGTTTGACTTCGGTCTTCAGCCCGGCGAGGTACGATTGTACTTTTTCCCCTTCGGTTAGGTCGGGAATTCGGTTATAAAATTTCTCCATCTGCTGCGTGTACTGCGCTACACTCCCGAACAGTCGGTGTCGATGATTTTTTTCCCGGGCGAGGAAACTCGAATTTATCGGCTCGAAACGTTTCAGCAGGTCGGCGCGGAACTGCTGCCACGTGGCTTCATCCTGTTCAAAACACGCATGGAGGGGGTAATTCGAAAAATCGCGGAGCTGGTGCTTACCAGAATCGGCGTCGAATTGGTCGCCCCCGGCGGTTTTTCGAGGCAGGTTTTCCCGCTGCTGCTGCTTTGTTGAGCGCGGCCGAGTGAGAAAGGCTCTGATTACCAAGTGTCACAGGATCGAATGACTCGAGGAAAGATTGCACTATCGATCAGTACAAGGCGCTTTTATACTTCCAAAGTACATCAGGTAACCAGGTTTATCTTATCCTAAGGGAATAGACCCTTCTAGAAAATAGAATCACCCTGCGTATAGCCACGCGAGGCTATTGGCTTTAAGGGATTACGGCAGGATTACGCTAGATAGAGCGCACCAGTACATCCCAAGCATGGTCGGTGATATAATTATAATAGCAGGATAAACCAAAGGTTAATGGAAAAGGAAGAATAGGAAACCAAATGAGATGGAATAAAAAGAGAAATGAAATAGGAAGGAAATCGGAAAAGGCCAAGTGGTGTAACGGGGTCGTACTCTCACAGCGGCGGTAGCAGTGGGCGGCGGTGTGACCGGGATGGTCGCAGACGGTGTCGCGGCGGGGGCTGGACTGAAGCTGGTACTCGCAGTTCACCACACTGGAGCCCCCACCCGACACCGAGTTGCGCGGCCCACCACCACGACGACCACCACCAGCGCCGCCAGTCCACCATGGCGGTAGGGGTCCCTATGGATGCTGTGATGCTGCTGTGACTGCTATTGCTGCTGCTGGGGTTGCAGCTGCTTCTGCTCTGAGGCATCAGCCCCGGTCCCCTTGTCTGCACCACTGTCGCCGCCACCACCTCCGCCAGCTCCGCCACCCCCACCACCCTCGCCACCCTTCCCCCCGCCACGCCCCCCCTTGGTGCGGCGGCCCTTACCCTGACGTGGCTGCACTGAGGCCGCGGTGGCTATCTCAGCAACAGGGGTTGTCTCAACGACAGCGGCAAAAACGTTAGAGTAAGTGCACTGGGAGGGAGCACAGCCCTAGAAGATAGGGACCACCGCAGTTGCGCTAGACTAAGCGATAGTGCACTGGCGGGTCTCTAACGCGAATAGGGCGGTGACAAAGGGGGTAAGGGTGAGGTCGCCTGGGTGCTGACTAAGGAAGTTGTCGCGGGCAGCGGTAAGGCTGTCAGGAAGGCGCGTGGCAATGAGGTAAAGGGTAGCGCAAAGCGGCGGCGGGAATGCAGTGAGTTGTGCCTCAGTGCTAGCAGCGCGGTAGCTAGTCTGAAGTGCGCGGAGATGAGTGGCAAGGTCCGCAACAGTGGGGGAGGAAGCTAGGGAAAAGCATGGGGAGGATCAGGCGGCCGGCAGAGTCGGAGGCGGGAGTCGGAGTCGCAATGACCGCATCTAAGTACTACTTTGCATTTGCGACGGCGGTAAAGCAGGGACGCTCAGACAGGGGGAGGGCGTGACTAATAGCAAGTTGTGCCACTGCGTTACGTGACTCCTAGACAGCGCGGGCAAGCTCAGCAGCGGCAATGGCCTCACGCTCAGTAGATGTGGGGGCGTCAGGGAGGGCAGCAAGAGCGTCGGGGCAGGGGAGCTTATCGTCGACATGGACGGCCAGGGAATAGCCATCCTGGCGCTGACCTGTCAGCAGGCCGCGAATGTCGAGGAGCCATGCCTCAAAATCACGTGCCCGACCCTCCGCATCCAGACGGAGCACAGAGTCCGCCATCACCACGGCTGCAGCAGCTTACTGCCGCTGGAGGGGGAGGAGAACGGCGGAGAGTGATAGAGAGTGGTGGAGAGCGATGGAGAGCGGTGGAGAGCAGTGGAGAGTGGTGGAGAACAGTGGGAAGCGGTGGAGTGCAGTGGAGAGCGGTGGGGAACGGTGAAGTGCGATGGAGAGTGGTGGAGACAGCCGGCGGGAGCGCCGCCTCAGAGGGGAGCCAAGGCCCTCAAAGGTCAAGTGCGGGGTGGCAGAGTGGCTCGGCAGCTCAACAGCATGACGGCTTGGCGGCACGGTGGCTCAGCGGCTCGACGGCACGGCGGAGCGGCTCGGCGGGAGCTAGGGCCGGCGCGGGCTAGGGCCGGCGGAGCTGGGGCCGGCGAAGCTGGGGCCGGCGGAGCTGGGGCTTGCAGAGCTGGGGCCAGCGGAGCTGGGGCTTGCAGAGCTGGGGCCAGCGGAGCTGGGGCTTGCGGAGCTGGGGCCGGCGGAGCTGGGGCCGGCGTGAGCGCGGGGCTGGTGCGAGAAGGGGGGGGGGGAGGGGGGGGGGGGGGCGACGAGCTCAGGGCCAGCAAGCTAGGGGCCAACGAGCAAAGGGGCTAGCGAGCGAGGGGCCGGCGAAATCGGGACCAGCGGGCGCAGGGCTGGCGAGCGCGGGGCCAGCGGGCGCGGGGCTAGCGAGCACGGGGCCGGCAAGCGCGGGGCCAGCGGGCGCGGGGCTGGCAAGCGCGGGGCCAGCGGGCGCGGGGCTAGCGAGCGCGGGGCCGGCGAGCTACCGCGGCTAGAGTTGGCTAGGGCGGCTAGAGCGAGCTAGGGCGGCTAGGGTGGGCTAGGTCAGCTCGGGCGGAAGCGCGGGCGGGCGGACCTAACCTAGCGTGATACCATCTCAGAGTAACGGAATGAACTAGAATGAGAGATACATGGTGGTTTTGTGCTGAGGGGTTGTACTCTCTTAGAGTACGCACCTATCTAGCCTATGATAACATATACATATATGTTTGACAGTCGAGTGGCGTGTTGCCGAGCCGAGGGCGATGCGGAAGTGGGTGATGAGACTCACATGACGTGTCACGTGCAGGCAGCCCTCTCTTTTGTCCCTGCCATTTCAGGGTTTGCCCCTGCCCCCAAGTGTTATGGGGAGGAATGTCTCTGATGTGGGGGACTTAGCCAATTTTTTTGGGGTGTGAGGGGTGTGGGGAGGAATGTCTCTGGTGTGGGGAACTTGACCGAAATATTTGGTATACAAGGGGTGTGGGGAGGAATGTCTCTGGTGTGGGGGACTTAGCCGAAATCTTTGGGGTGCAAGGGGTGTGGGGAGGAATGTCCTTGGAAATCGGGGACTTTGTTGAAAAGTCTTGCTTGTTAGGGTGGGGTGGGGAGAGGAGGAACTGTCAACATATATGTGTATATGTTATAGGCTAGATAGGTGCATGCTCATAGAGAGTACAACACCTTAGGATAAAACCACCCTGTATCACTCATTCTAGCTAGGTTAGGTCCTCCCCGCCCACCCGCGCTTCCGCCCTAGTCCTAGTCCTAGTCCAAGCTGCCCATCGCTAGCCGCACGTCGCTACCCGCCCGTCGCTACCCGACCGTCGCTACCCGCCCGTTCCTAGCCGCCCATCGCTAGCCGCCCCCGCTACCTGCTGGCCGCTCACCGCCGCTGGCCGCCCATCGCCTCGTGCCGCCCATAGCCGCCAACCGCCTGTAGCCACTCGCCGCCCGTAGCCCCACCGCTCGTCGCCGCTAGCCGCCCGTAGCCTCCAGCCGTCGCCGCTCACCGCCGCTAGCCGCCCGTCGCCTCGTGCGGCCTGTAGCCGCCAGCCACCTGTAGCCGCCAGCCGCCAGTAGCCGCTAGCCGCCAGTAGCTGCCAGCCGCCCGTAACCCCGCGCCCGTCGACCCTAGCTCACCAACCCGCACTTGCCCGTCGGCCCCGCTGCTCACCGGCCCTAGCTCGCCGTGTCGTGCTCCCCCCTCTTCTCCCCCGTCTTCTTCACTATCCTTCTTCCCTGCCCTCCTTCTTCCTTTGTCCATTCCATCTCTGGTAGGTAATAACTGCTGCTGTGGGACCAAGCGCCCTATACAAGCCTCTTCCTGGTTGCTCAGATCCACGTGGGACTGAATTCCCGGACTGCGGGACTCTAGTAGGCGTAGAGTGTGTTTGCAGTTTAGTAGGAAAACATACAGCGAGAAACGATAAGCCTACTGAGTCCCGATCTATTTACACTTCACTCTCCCCTGCTACCTCGCCTACCTCCCTTCCCCTCCTTGGGAACTGAGATTCCCTGGTCCCTACCCTTCGTCAGATGGGGCTATAGCTGACGTCCCTTTCCCCCCCCCCCCACACCTCATCCCTGCTTGCGCCTCGAAATTGGAAGGTCCCATTATCCCCGCGCCTCGATCCCTGAGCTCCTTCATATTTTGTTCAGTACAGTACTGTACATCTTTCTCCCGTATTTTATGTTTCACTTATGCAGGCTAACTATTTCTTCTCATGATTCTCTGCTCCTCTTACCTCTTCCTTTGCTGCTGTGTTACCCGTGGAGAGGCTCATGCCTTTTCATGGGTAACGCGACAGCTGTCGTCCTCCCCCCTCTTCTCCCCCGTCTTCTTCACTATCTTTCTTCCCTGCCCTCCTTCTTCCTTTGTCCATTCCGTCTCTGGTAGGTAATAACTGCTGCTGTGGGACCAAGCGCCCTTGCCCCCTCCCTGGTTGAATCGATCCCTCCCTTCGCTTCAGCCATGGGATCCTTCTGCTTGGTCCTGCATTCTCCTGCTGCAGCTACATTCGTGATATGCTCTCTCCTCCTCTCTCCCCTCTCATTCTCCAGCACCAATACTCCAGACGAGCGTATCTCCTGCACGCGCCACTTCTCTTTTCCTACTGACATTTCCAGGGTGTCCTTCCTTGCCTTTCTCAGGTACACTTCCCTTCCTACGGCCACGTTACTAGCCGTCCCTCCTGCCTCTCTTTCTCGTCGCTGCTGATACCTGCGTGCATCTCTCAGCTGCGCTGTGTGCAGATTCTCCAGGGCTGCCGGCATGAGTTCCTTCAGATACTCTCCTCTTCGCATCGCCTCAGCTGCCCACGCCTCCGCCGACGCTTCACTCATTGACTCGGTGAGAAGCTTGGGCACATCCACTGGTAGCACGGGCTCTCTGCCGTACAGCAAGTGATACGGGGACATGTCTTTCAGTGCTGACTACTTTGCGAACCGATAACCGGCCAGCACTTGTTGTACGATCTGCTCCCTCTCTCCTGGCTCTGGCACCACCTTCCATCCTTCCGACGTGCGTAGCTGCATCTGATTCTGAAACCACCGGTAATGCCCTCCTCTATTCCTCGCCCTAGCCGTTACTGCTGCAGTGTCTTCGGTCAGCCCTTGTACCCAGTGGAGTGTCTCCTTATCTAACCAAATATCCGCTGCCTTTTGTTCCTTCAGCTCCTGCACATCTCCCTTCTCTTCTCCCTCCGCTGCCACTGCTGCCCATTTCTGCTCTACCACTGGGGGAGGATTCCGTGACAGCCCGTCTGCATGTTGTAGCGTCTTTCCTGCGCGATGCTTGATGATGAAGTCGTACTCTTGCAGTCGCATTGCCCACCGTGCATTCCGCCCTGTCAAGGATCCGTTGGTCATCAGCCACAGGAGTGGCTGGTGGTCTGTTATCAGCGTGTATCTTTGTCCTTGCAAGTAGGCCCTGAAGTGTGTCACTCCCCACACAGCCGCTAATCCTTCCCCTTCGTATGAACTGTAGTTGGCTTCTGTTGCAGTGCAGCTTCGACTGGCATACGCTACCACTTGCTCTTCTCCCTCTACCTCTTGACACAATACTGCTCCCATGCCCGTGCTGCTCCAGTCAGTGTACAGCGTGAACGGTAAGTCTCTCCTTGGCAGCTGTAGTACCGTTCCTGCTTTAATGGCCTCTAGCAGGTCCCTTCTTGCCTGTTCCTCCTCTGGTCCCCACTTCCAGGTTTGCCCTTCCCTCAGCAGTTGGTTCAGCCGGTGAGCTCTCTTGCTTAAATTGGGGATAGAGCGTCGGTAGTAGTTTAGAAACCCCAGGAGTGCCCTCAGTGCTCCCTTGTCCTTCGGTGCCCCCAGCTTGTCAAGCACTGCCACCTTTGCCTCCTGTATGCCCATTTTTCCTCCTCGGACTTCAAATCCCAGGTAAGTAATTGTCCTTCTAGCTATCTTGCACTTCTCCGGATGACAATTAGTCCCGCTGCTGCTATCGCGTCCAGTGTTGCTCTCAGATGCTCCGCATGTTCCTCCTCCGTCTTGCTGTAGATCACCACATCATCAATGTAGCACGCTGCTGATGGTACCGTCTTCAGTACCTGATCCATGACTCGCTGGAACACGGCTGAGGCATTCCTCAGTCCGAATGGCATTACATTCCACTCGTACAGGCCAACCACGCCATGGAAGGCGGTCTTGCATTTGTCTTCTTCCCTAATGACTATCTGATTGAACCCCTGCCGCATGTCCAGTGTTGAAAAGATGACCGCTCCTTCCAGCCTGTCGAAGATCTCCTCTGCCGTGGGCATGCTGTAACGATCTGCTTTTGTTATGCGGTTTAACTCCCGGTAGTCACCACACATTCTCCTGGCCAGTACTTCTCCGGTCAAGTCTGTCCTCGCTGCTACCACCGTAGCCGCTGCGTATGCCGAGTTTGACGGCCGTATCAGTCCTGCATCTAGCAGCTCTCTGCACTTGCCGCGACAGATCTCTTCGTCTCCCGGGCTCATCCGCCGCCTCCTCTGGTAAATGGGCACCGTGGTGTCCAGAGGTAGCTCGAGCTCGTGCAGCTTGCACTTCCCCAATTCTTGCAGGGTGTATGCGAAGGTCTTCCGATGCTCTGCTAAAACTTGCTGTATCTCTGCCGCCACCTTGCTGTCCAGTTCCGAGCTCACCTCCCATTGTCTCTGGCCTTCCTTTTCTGTCTTCTCTCCCTTCTTTGTGTCTTTGTCTTCGTCCTGCCTTTCTTCTTGTGTCAGGTATGCTCGGCTGGCCTTGATCTGCCCCCTGTTCCCTTTTCCAGGCTGCTCTCTCGGCCCTTCTACCTCCCGCTGCTGTATCATCTCCTTTATCAGCCACCGTAATGCATGCTGATCCATTGCCCGCCCCAGGGCGGCTCTTCGCTCTCGCTCTGGTACTCCTCGTGCGGCTGTTGCCCCTGGTATGTATCCCATCGCCAGTTCTCGCTCGGTTGCTGTAGGTTCTTCCCACTGTCCTCTTGCTCTGTCATACACCATGCCTGGTCCTGGCTTGTCTTCTTCCATCACAAATCCTCGGGCTACTTCGTAGGCCACCAAGGTCGACCATAACCTTCTTGGCTCGCCCGGTTTATTGCACTGCAGCTGCTTAGGGTGGTCTCGCTTTTCCACCGGGGCTGGCGTTCGTCCTGGCTCTAGAATGTCCGCTACCAGCAAGTTCGTGTCTCTTCTCAGGTCAGCCAGTCCTTGCTCCAGCTTCTCAGTTCCCTCTGCGTTCTGCCAGTATCTCCTTACTGGCCTTGCTCTTGCTCCGTTTAGAGCGGCATCCCAACTCACGCCTGCCCCCAGCTCCGCCACTACCTTCTCTTGCGTGGCTCTCACTGGCTCTCGCGGGTCTCCCATCATGTCCACATGCTCCACTATGTAACAGCACTGTGATCCCCCTTCCTTGATCCATTTTAGCACTTGCAATAGCTCATCCCGTAGCGCCGTGCGCGAATCTCCCATTCCCCGCCCCTTGCCGGCTCGCGAGGTGCCTTGACACTCCCATCCCGCCACCACTAGATCCACCTGGCCCCATCCCCATACTGTTGCTTTGTTTAGCTGGCGCACGTCCCAAGCTCCTTCCTGCTTAGCTTCCTCTATCACCGCTCTGCATATCTGTCCCGGATACCTTCGTTGCAGCTGCTCCGCATGATGCCAGGCCATGCGCCTGGCTGTTGGGTCTATCTCCACTAAGATCCATTTCTGCACGACCAGTCCTGCCTCCAGTGCCGCTGCTAATCCTGCTCCTATGCCGCCGAAGAGTTCCACCAGCGTGATGGGCTGGTCTCCTAGCGTCGCTTCCACTTGCTGATTGAGGTTCACTGTCTTGCCTTGCGCAGCTCCCTTCACCTCATCACCGCTCCTTTTCTCCCCTGCCCTCCGCTGAGGCTCGGTGGCTCTCAGGGCCCTCCGTGGCTCCATTTTTACAAATCGCACCAGCAGATCTCCCTGTGCCCCTCCCTCCTTCCAGTACTCGGTTCTGAAGGTGAGCTTCTCCCCCCACGCGTCAATCTGTGCCCCGATCTTGTAGATTAGCTCCATTCCAACCAGCAAATCATAGTCGTCTGATGAATGTTTATTTTCTACTGATATGCACACAATTGCACGCCATAAAACAAAATTAGTAACTGATTACATTATGTTTTGCAACATTATATTTCATATAAGGAGATACATTTGCGTAACTACAACATGCACACGCACAATCTATTCAAGCACATGTGAAACATGCAGGGAGTCGACATAACTTTAGAAGTGGAAGACAAGCGACTACACTACACAACTACACATCTTACATGCAAGTAGCACGTACATGCTCTTGGCCGAAATAAAAATAAATAGTCCCTGCAGCAAAAGCTAAGGGAGCTCACAGTTACGTGGAAAAGAAAGAAAGAAAGAAAGAAAGAAACCCAACAGAAACCGTGATCAACCAATCCGTATACTCACCCCTCCGCTCCAGCAATCCGCATCATATCGCAAATATACGGCGTTAATATACACCATTTAATATGACATAATCCAGAAAAGTACATCCAAAATTCACCGTAAAAAACAGCTCGTAGAAACGCCCATTGTAGGTGTTCTTACCACAACGTTAAGAGCTTCATGGCGGGATGCATTCTGAACTTCATGTGCAAATATCAGATGCTGTTTTCAGATCTGAAATGCAACGATGCGAACAGGGTCCTCGACATCAGACAAAATCCGTCTGATTTTCAGACTTTTTTTTAGGCGTTCATCTGATTTTTTAGAAACCCAATTATTGAATTTCTGATGCCCTAGAAAGTGATTTTGTGTCCTTCTGATATTTCAGAATAGGTGTACTCGTCCTTCTGGTATTAGAGACTTAGCAAAAATTCTCATCTGAAACGGATCTCTGTAGGTTGCATGAGGATCTTGATTGGTCCTTCGACAAAATCACCACCCGATACCTGCTTGAGGGTGTGTGAGTGGCGCCAACAGGGACTTCACCAAAAAATTTGCCTCATGTAGAAATATTAAGGGCCAATTAGAGCCCTCACAACCCGATGCGTGTTGCAGTCTGTGTGAGGGTGCTAGTTGACCCTTAGCTAATTCACGTGGGGGGAGGGGGATCGCCTCGCCTGAGGGGGGCTGGCTCTGGCTGACCCTCGCCAACCAATGTGCGTGAACGCGACTTGCGAGGGCCTTGCCTCTTGCCCGCCCCCTTCAATTTCAATCCCCTCCCCCCCCCCCACCTCCCCCCCCCCTTCCAGACAGGGTTCTCGCTAGGGCCCTCCCCTTTTCCCGCTCCCGCGGGCCTGATTCGTCGCCATGGCAGTCATCCCACCAATCAGAACCTCTCGCAACATTGAACCCCCAAACCTTCTTTCGTGCACGCCCAAGCTGCCCAAGGACCTCGAGCACTAGGAAACGTACTCAAATATTGGGACGTGGAGTCTAATATGGCCCTTGTAGGCTAGCCTAGAAATCTAAATTAGGAACTCTGAAATTTTAGAAACTGCATTACGATTCGTCTGAATTTTTAGAAACTGAAAATTTGGCCGTCTGATCATCAGATGGGCCGAGAGGGTCCGTCTGATAGCCTAGAAAGTGCCTATAGCCTAGCGAGAGCCCTGGATGCAAAAGGCCAAAAGTGGTAATAATGCATAAATGCGCCGTGAACCGTGACGCTTACCGTGACGCCATTTGCAGGCCCTATCTACGCCACCGTGAGAAAACGGGCTTGGAAAAACCGCAACAGAAAGAGAGAGAGAGAGAAAAAAAAAAAAACAAAAAACAAACAAACAAACAAACAAATGAGGCGCGTAAGACGACGTTCCAGAAATCGTAATGGCGCGTATGTGGCATAATAACAAGTCCAGGAATAAGTAAAAAAACAAATAAGAAAGGTGCACTAGCGCTGGGTTTCAGACATGAAATGCGTGAGAACTTCTGTTAGGGTCCGAGAGAATGGAAGGAAGAAAAGGACAAGGTTCGAGCATCAGTGAGAGAAATGGAACAGAAGCGAGTGAAAATGGAGTGGTTGGGGTTGGGGAGGATGGAACAAGGGAGATGACGATGTGGCAAAAGGAGATTGGTTGGGGTAAGTTTGTGGATAATCTCGGTAACGAGCAGGTGAAACGGGTTGGGGACTTTCGCTAGCTACACGAAATCACACATGTTTCGCGTGGGAAAATAGTGTTACTCGAAAGTGTTTTGAATGTGAACCTTCGATTGTCGCGAAACTGATCGGACGATGAATACATGTTTTTTTGTTTTGGGCCGTTAGATCAATGTTGGGATGTGAACCGTCCGATCAGACCCTGTTGCGTTCACCTGAAAATTGTGTCTTGATTGTGTCCTGGTGCCAAGGTCCCTTGTATTGAATCGGGACAGATTTTGTACAGTTCTAGGGCAGGTCATGCCCGGGACACTTTGGGGGGGGGGGGGTTGTAATGGTTTCGGGAGACTTTTGGGGGGAATCTAAGACCTGCATACATGTGGGACAGATTTTAGATGCCCACTTTTTGGAGATGCAAGAGCTGGGAGCACCTGGGCGGGGCCGCGCTAACAGCCGCTACCTATCAGAGCCATAGTGAACCTAACGCGAACAAATGTAGAGCCAGCGAGACGGAGGGTGGGAGAGGAGGGCGGGAGAGGAGAGAAGGGGAGCAGGGGAGGAAAAAGGAGTGGGAGAGACGGGGAGGGAGAGACGGGGAGTGGGAGAGAAGGGAGAGGGTGAGGAAAGGATTGGGAGAGAAGGGGAGCAGGTGAGGAAGGGGGCGGGAGAGAAGGGAGAGGGTGAGGAAAGGAGCGGGAGAGAAGGGGAGCAGGTGAGGAAGGGGGCGGGAGAGAAGGGAGAGGGTGAGGAAAGGAGCGGGAGAGAAGGGGAGCAGTTGAGGAAGGGAGCGGGAGAGAAGGGGAGCAGGAGAAAAGGGGAGTGGGAGAGAAAGGGAGCAGGATAGAAGGGGGGGTGAGAGACGGGGAGGAATGGAGAGAAGGGGAGCGGGATAGAGAGGAAGGGGGGGGGGGGGGGGGGGGAAGAAGAGGATCGGGATAGAAGGGGTGGCAAGAAAAGGGGAGAGATGGAGAGAAGGGGAGACACCGGGTCCTGGGGGAACGTGGTGAGGGGGACACCAGTGGCGGCCTCAGTACAGGCCGCGTACCGCTCGTCTCCAGGGAACGGGGTGGTGACGCCGAGGTCCCGAAGATAACTGACACCAACCAGGTTCCTGGAGAATGAGGGGATGTACAGACTTGTAAGAGAGCCAGCGGGAACCGCCGGGCAGGGAAGTGAGGTGGAGCTACGTGTAACTACCAGACCGGACGAGGGGTCAGCAAGGGTGACTGCTGCAAGGGCAAAAAGCGGCATGAGAATAGTGTGGTCATGAAAGAAGCAGGCGGACGCACCGGAGTCCAGCGTGAAGGAGAGCGCGGCAGTAGCGTCAGCTGGCGGGGGCACTAGCGTGGAGCCAAGGCTAAACAAGGCCGGAGGTCCTACGCTTGATGCAGCAGGGAAGCCTAGACTACACACAGCAGACAGACCTAGGCTAGGCAACACAGCTACTCTCAAGAGCACATAGGTGAGTGGCAAGATCAGCGACAGTGGGGAAGGACGCGAGGTCAGGGAAGAGCAGGGGCAGGAAGAGACAGCCAGCAGAGGCGGAGGAGGGATTGGAATAGCGAGCAATGACTCCATCTACGTACTCCTTCGCAGTCTCTACGGCCTGAAAGCGAAGACGCTCGATCAGGGTGAGAGCGTGACTAATAGCAAGCTGCGCAATGGCGTCACGCGACTCCCAAATAGATAGGGCGAGCTGAGCAGCGGTGAAAGCCTTATGTCCCTTTAGCTGGCAGCGCTGGTCAGCGAGCCATGCCTCAAAGTCGACAGCCCGACCCTCCGCGTCCAGGTGGAGAACAGCGTCCGTCATAGCATACAGCTGCAGCAGCTGGAGAGCTCACGCGGAGGAGCAAGGAGCAGGCGGGTGTCGTGGAGTGCGGTGGAACGTGGTGGAATGCGGTGGAGTACGGGGGAGAGTGGTGGAGTGTCCTGGAGTGTGGT